AGTAACAGTTAGATCAAAATCTCCAAGCGGTTTGCCTTAATGCAGTGTTTCCTAACTCCACTGCATGGTGCAGGTTTGTTTTGGTTTAAGTGGGTATTTTTAAAGATATTGTGCATTTGGAATCTTCTGACCTAAATTACCACTTAGACTATAGAGGTACATAACTAATGTGTCTTCTTGAACTATACACATTTGGTCCATTTAGTTCGATAAGCATTTAATGAAAGAAATCAGCTGATCTCTTCTCTGTCAGAAACCTTCCCTGGGACTCCCCTGGGGTCCAGTGGTTAGGTCTCTGAACTTCCACTGCAGGGGGCATGGGTTTCAGTTCCTGTTTGGGGAACTAAGATCCTGCATGACACGTGTCATGGTCAAAACAAAACAAAAAAAGGCCCTCGTTGGCTTCCCATCTAATTTAGAGTAAAAGTCCACAGCTTTATCAGAATTTCCAAGGCGGCTACCTAACCCAGCACATTTCTCTCTGATTTAATTTTCTATTTCTTTCTCATCATCCTCCCCAATCTTCTTCAAGCACATTAGGCATCAAGGCTTCCTCAGCCTGCTCCCTTGCTGCTCTCACCTGAAGATGCCCCCAAAGCCAACTACCTCACTCTCTTTAGGTCTTTACATAAATGACACTTTTTCCGTGAGACTGCTTGCCCAAAATTCCAATAGTCTCCCTTCTCAACTTCCTGTTCTTCTCCCTACTTTGTTTTTATTTTTACTTATTAAAAGCATAGTGTTTACTTGACTTATTCATTGCATTGATTGCTTGTCCTTCCAATTGTTGTGTTGTGCTCAGTCGCTCAGTCGTGTCCGACTCTTTGTGACCCCATGGACTGCAGCCCGCCAGTCTCCTCTGTCCATGGGTTTCTCCAGGAAGAACACAGGAGCGGGTTGCCATGCCCTCCTCCAGGGGATCTTCCCAACCCAGGGGTCAAACCCAGGTCTCCCACATTCCAGGTGGATTCTTTATCGCTGAGCCACCAGGGATGTTTCTTTAGGGGCTTCCCAGGTGGCGCAGTGGTAAAGAATCTGCCTGCCAATGCAGGAGACACAGGCTCAATCCCTGGGTCGGGAAGATCCCCTAGAGGAGGAAATGGTAACCCATTCCAATATTCTTGCCTGGAAAATTCTGTGCACAGAGGAGCCTGGTGGGCTACAGTTTATGGGGTTGCAAAAGAGAAATGACTGAGCAACTGAGCATGCAAGTTTCTTTAGGACAGGAATGTTTACCAATTTTGATCTGCTATATACTCATACTAGGCTAGTGCTTAGCACATAGTAAGATTTCAGTAATTATTTGTTGAATGAGTAAGTGACAGAATGAATTCACAAATAAACAGAGTGGACTCTCTTTGCAAACTACGACACTGATGCAGAAGTACAAAGATGACCAAGACAGCTCTCTGCCCTTACAGGTTATGATCCGGTTGAAGAGACAGACAGAGCCATGGGTCATTTCAGTACAAGCACAATAAGAAATGTGTGTCCAAGTCATCATTTCAAGGCACTGCTCAAGAGGCCCACTTCTGTCTCACATCATGCAGAAAACTGAAGAAACTGGCACAGCTAGACCACTTAGGGATTGTTACAAAGTAAGAAGGGATGGCTAGTGCACACAGATCTCATAGATGGTCCCACAGCCCACCAGCCAGCCCCACCCAGCTATAGGTCCTGCTAGCCAATCCTGTCCAACCACAAATCCCACAGGCACTGTTGAATTACATTACCCAAGGACCCTGGAATTGAAAGCCCCTGCCTGTGGAGGATCCCAGAATTGGATAACTGATAGTGATGAAGTCCTTCCCCTATTGAAACTCTCTTGAAATGCAGACACCAGCACAAGGATACGAAGGCCACAGAGAATCAGGGAAACATGATATCAGCAAGGGAAGCATCAACTTCTAGTGCATGTGTGCTCAGTGGCTAAGCCACGTCCCACTCTTTGTGACCCCATGGACTGTAGCCCGCCAGGCTCTCCATGGGATTTTCCAGGTAAGAAAAGTGAAGTGGATTGTCCTTTCCTCTTCTAGTGGAGCTTCCCAACCCAGGAATCGAACCCACATTGTCTCTTGCATTGGCAGGCAGATTCTTTACCACTGAGTCACCTGGGAAAATCATCAACTTCTAGTAATTGACCCTGAAGAAATAGAGTTCCACAAATTGACAAAGACTTTAAACCAATCATCTTAAAAAGCTCAGTGGGCTATGAGAGAATACAGATAAACAACTAAATAAAATCAGGAAAAGACAGGAATGAAATGGGATGGAATAACAACAGCAAGATGGCAGTATTAGAATTCCCAGTGCCCATCCTTTCCCTCAAACATCCACTGGAACAACTATCCACATGTATTTATAAAAATATCTTCAGAAGACCTAAGCATTCCAGGTGTGGGATGACAGCCCCTGGGCAGAGCACAGAAGAAAGAAAAGAGGCATTGAAGATGGTGGGAAAGGTAACTTCACATTATGTCTATGATCCTCCTCTAAACCCAGGCAGCCCATCAGGGAAACAAAACATCCTCCCTATTGGAGGGAAGTGAAGTGAGCACCCAGCTCCACTGCAGACCCCAGCATGGCCCCTCAGCACCACCAACCCCAGGTGGTTCTTGTGGTGCAAGGTTTCTGGTGGGCTCTTATAAACCCAAGATCCCACTCATCCCAGCACTGGGTGGGAATCTGCAGCTCCAGGCACCAAACTGGCCTCTGTGAACCCAGGCTCCAGGCAGGCTCCTATTAACCCAGGCTCCCAGCCAGGCCCAATGCTAGGTCAGCTATCATAGACCCAGGCTCCCAACCCAACCCAGCACCATGTTAGCTCCATGAAGCCAGGTGCCCAGCCCAGAACCAAGTTAGGACTTCCAGACCCAGACATTGGGCTCACCCCAGGTCCATAGCACTTAGCTGGTTCTGTGGAATTAGGATCCAGGCCTGATCCCATGGACTCAGGCACTGGAACTGCCAGCCCAAGGACTTCATCAGAAAGGTCAACCACAGACACCATCCCGTATGGCTCACCCATAATATCTCACTGGTAAAGGGCTTTCCTTGCTGAAGACACCCTGTAAAGACTAGAAGAGGTGTCTACCTCTTCAAATGTACAGAAACCAACATAAAGCCACAGGATCATTAATAATCAAGGAAATATGATGAGCTCCAATGACTGACCCTAAAGAAAGGGAGATTTATGAACTATTTCACAAACAGTGAAATCCTTCAGTCAGAGCAGCAAAAGAAAAATGAATTTTAAAAAAAGGGTGAACAAAAGCCTCTAAAAACTGTGGGATACCACTGACAGAAGTAATCTATACATTACTGGAGTCAAACAAGAAAAGAGGGAGAAATGACAGAAAGCTTCAGTTTTCAGTTCAGTCACGTCCGACTCTTTGCGACCCCATGAATCGCAGCACACCAGGCCTCCCTATCCATCACCAACTCCCGGAGTCTACCCAAACCCTACTTTGGCCACCTAATGCGAAGAGTTGACTCATTGGAAAAGACCCTGATCCTGGGAGGGATTGGGGGCAGGTGGAGAAGGGGACGACAGAGGATGAGATGGCTGGATGGCATCACTGACTCGATGGGCATGGGTTTGGGTAGACAGAAAGCTTATTAAAAGAAATAATGACTGAGAACTTCTCAAATCTGGAGAGCTATCTGGAAACCCAAGTTCATGAAGCTAATAGGCAATCCCAAAATTTCAATTCAAACAATTTTCTCCAAGATACATTATAATAAAAGTCTAAAATTGAAGATAGAGATAATTTTAAAAACAGAAAAAGAAAGATTAATTGCTCACATACAACAAAATCTACACAAGTCAATCAGTGAACTTCTCAGCTGAAACCTTGCTGACCAAAACAGTGAGGTGGTATATTCACGGTGTTGGGAAAGAAAACACAAAAACGAAACCAACCAAACAAGAATACTTTACCCAACAAAGTTCTCTTTCAGAAATGAAGGCGAGATCAAGACTTTCCTCAAAAAATAAAATCTGAACGAGTTCATCACCATTAGACCTGCCCAATGAGATATTAAAAGTAGTTCCTCAAGTTTTTTTCAATAATAATAGGAGACTATCATACTTCATGTTAACAATAGATGTATCTTTCAGATGGAAAATCAATAATGGAACACCAGACTTGCACAACACTATAAACATGTATAAACTATATACATGTCTAAACTCATAAAAGGGTAGATTTTAATTATGTAGGTTTTTTTGTGTTTATTACTGCAATGAAGTTGAAGAAAAAATTTTGGTCCCAACACTGAAATGACTATAGCCTGTATCTAACTCCGCAGTTGCAATATTAGCACTTACCTCCTCTTGTAGTACTGAACACCTTACTAAATTCTACCTTGTGCTATAGCTTTAAATGTATGTTTTCTTTCCTTACACATTTGTGACCTTCCTAAAGGCAGTGACAGGACCTTGCTGTGTTGAAGGGACCCCAGTGCCACCTGTGGTTTTGATGATCCACTAGGATGACTCTCGGGGCTCAGTACACTGCTCATGGCTGTTTATTGCACCAAAAGGACTTCAAGCAAAGCCAGAAAAGAAAAAAGGTACATGGGGGTCTGTCAAGGGAAACCAGGTACGAGTTTCTATGAGTCCTCGAACCAAAGTCACAAGGATGAGTTTAATTCCCCCAGCAACAAGGCATGACAACACATGTGTAATGTTGCCAACCAAGAAACCTCACTACCCTTGGTGCCTGGAGCTCTTACTGGGGCTGATTATGTCCCCAGATCAAGTCCTACTTGGCATGTCTCCAGATTCCAGACTCCCAGAAGGAAGCAGGTGATCAGCATAAACAACATCATTTCTGCAAATAATTTGGATCCAATGTGCCACTCTTCTCCATTCTGAGAATGGTGGGAACCCTCCCCAAATCCAAGCTCCCAAAGCCAGTCAAGGCCAACTTTGGAAACAGGACCTTCACAAGATGGCAGTCAGGCCCGCTATGCCAGCTTTTTTTCTGTCCACTTACTCATTGTTAGATCTCCCTGGTACTCAAAACATCTGCTGAATTCCATTTTCCACTTCACACTTTTGCTAAAGCAAGATGATAAGAAATAAATGATCATTTCATGTATACAAAGAACTGTTTATATTTTAGAACTGGTCTACATGTGCTTTAAAAAACTTTGTCTTGCCACTCAACATAGTTTTCTTTCACCCTTTAATACTTAAGCTTGGATAAACCAATTTCACATAAACAGCTAGTTAATCACTATAATGAATATAGAAGTAAATACAAAGTAGTGGTTCAACACCACCACAGAGGTAATGGCCTGGATATGATTTCTATTTTTATATCTGTTTGGGATCTGACCTAAGGTATTTAGTCTACAGACCTTCTTCTGTAATGATAATAACACTTTGAACTTATGTTAACAGTCAGCAGCAGACTGCTAAGTTGATTCTGACTGGAAACAAACTTATTAGTCTCAATAATAAAGAACTTTGAGTGACTTGGCAGCTCCGCTGGCAGAATCCAGGCCTGGTGATGTCAAAGGATGCTTTGGTAAAAAACTGGAGAATTCTGTCACGAGTTCCCATGTTTCACCACCAGGCTGGCAGAACAACTTTTCCTGTGGGATGCCACGGCCCTAAAATTATGCTCAAAACAAGATGCTTGTCTTTGAGAATAGAAAAAGGTGGCTTGACAGATCAACACAATCTCCTTTTCCATTTTTTTTTTTCCTGGACGATGCCAATGACTGCAAAATATGAAAGCCTGCCTAGATGACTTCCTCAATTGACTCTCTTGTGTGTTTTGAAGAATTCCTATGGATTGTAAACAAAGCATACAGATTCTGTGAATTTAGCTTTTCCACATGTTCAGGAACACAATATCTAAAATCTGCTCATCTTCACAGCTCCCAACTCTGACGGCAATGATGGTGCAAAGGGGTCCATCTGTGGGATGGGCCAAGCTTGGGGCAACCCTTGATGCCTACACTGAAGAGTTTTAAACAGATTTTACAGCACAGGGGTTCACAGACAGGATATATAGATGGATTTTAAGCATCTCTGAAACATCTGAAAAAATATGTAGCACTCTAGGTGGGAGCATTTTTCTGGGGAGAAGATCCAAAACTTTACCTTTTCAAATGTGACTGTGACCTAGAATGTTTGTGGAAACTCAGGCCAACTGGATAAGGAAACTTAGGCCAAAAGAAGATTGCATATCATCAGCATTTTCCAAACCAGTGTTACCAGGACAATCGTCTGGGGCACTTGTTAAATTGCATGCAATTCTCTTCTCCAGGAAATTAAAACCGACTTAAAAAATCTTGAGGGACTCCACTGGAGGTCCAATGGTTAGGACTTCACCTTCTAATGCAGGGGTTATGGGTCTGATCCCTGGTCAGGGAGCTAAGATTCCCATATATGCCTCACAGCCCCAAAACTAAAAAAACAGAAATAATACTGCAAAAAAATCAATAGACTTAAAAATTTTTTTAATTAAAAAAATCTTGATATGCATTGATTCATTGCTTCTATCTCAAAAAGTAAATTAAAACAAGTGGTACACCCCAGTATAGCACGTCAGAAAATTATCAGTGGTTATGTTCTATAACATGCTCATCCTTCAGATTCTGTGGAGACACATCCAGTGCTGCCCCTATGTTGGGCAAATCCAGAATATTCCACATATTAAGTAAATCAAAATCCTAAAAACTGATGTTTTTCAGATGTTATGAAAAACAATAAATCACAAATTGATGGTTCTGTAACATGATTTCCCAAATAACCTGTCTGAAATCCTAATCATCAGGTTATGTCTACTATAGATTTTTCTAGATTCAATCTCAGCAGCACCACCTACTGATAATTTGAATTCAGTACTTTATATAAACTCTTAGCAATAGGAAGATTAACCAACTAATTGGAAATCACCTAGAACATGCTTGGCTTCTCATAAAATATGTACAATAATTTAACTGACAGGAAATTTAATATTTTTGCAAGTGGTGAATCAAACTGCATTTAATGACAAGGGTTGCTTCAATCATGCAATAGACTGACTACTTATGTTCCCTGAAAAATTTGTTGGAATTCTAAGCCCCAGGGTGATGGTGTTTGTGGAGGTAGGGCCTTTGAGAAGTGATTGGGTCACAAGGGCAGAGCTCTTGTGAATGGGATTAGTAACTTCTAAGAGAGACCCCCAGGAGCTGTCTCCCTCCTTTCTTCTGCCATGAGAGGTTATGCTGAGGACAGCTATGAACCAGGAAGCAGGCCCTCACAAACTGAATCTCCTAGCATCTTGACCTTGGATTTTACAGCTTCCAGAACTGAGAAATAAATTTGTTATTTATGTCATTTCCATCTCCTCACTGCTACAGTATTTTTTTTTTTTTGCCAGGCAGCATGTGGAATCTTAGTTCCCTGAACAGGGACTGAATCCATGCTCCCTTCAGCGGAAGCATGGAGTTCTAGCCACTGGGTCACAGGAAAGTCCCCTGGCTATGGTATGGTTATGGCAGCCTGACGGGGCAAGCACATACCCAGGTATGTTTCTACTGTGTTGGCTACTCTCCATCCATCCCCTCACCCACGCCCCCATCATTCTGTATTCCAGTTGGGTTCGGCCAGTGAGATGACTGGCAAGAAATCAGACGGCAGTGGGAGACACTAGGGTATTGACTCCTCTCGTCCTTCTCTCCTGACCTCTGTGCCAGTCAGAGCTCTGTCCGTCTGTCCCTCCTCCACGAGTCCAGCTCTCACCTTGTGTTGCCGTGTAACACTTACCCCTCTTGACTCAGAGGTCCTGACAGTAAAGGATGCCTCCACTTCCCTTGCTGGCTCCTTCAGTCTTCAGGTAAGGAGTTATTTTGCAAAATCCTGTTTAGTTGACCTCCTGTGTATAATCTGACTTTCTGGCAGGCCCCCACAGGGACACAGAGCTCTCCAGAGACTCATCGTGCTTACTGTAATACTGAAGTGATCACTTACTCAACATTTGAGTACAGTGGAAAAGATATTGTTCTAGGTACAATACAGATAAAAATATGAAAAAGATTCCATTATTAGGAATCTCCCATTAACGAGAAGTTCATATTAATATACATAGAAGGGGTTTGGGTTGACTGAAAACCTCAATGTTTCCACATAACTATTCTAATTTCTACACATAGTATGATTAATCTTAGGTATCAAGTAAGTCAGCCTTTTAGCTATCATGTTTCCACAGTACTCTAGAGTTTCACCAAGCTTATCACCATCTAACTGGAACCCTGTGGTTTATTTAAATAATCTTAAATAAGCCAGTTGGAAGCTTGGAACCAATTACTTAACCTGAAAATGTGTTATTTTTACATTCTAATGAAGCAGTCTCACCAACAAGTGTTTACTTTAGAGTTCTTCTGTGGGACATAAACACACACACACAGAGTACAAAATTCTCCCTTCATGTGGATTCTGGAGAGCAGGGGCTGCCTCATTCTCCCCTGTAGCTTCTGGAGTTTCCATACATTAGAAAGTGAATCATCGTTTTAAAGACAAGCTGATGAGTAAGAGCACAAACTTTACTTAGCTTTGAGCCCCAGCCTTGCCCCCATCTGGCTGGACAACCTTGAGTAAATTACCAAACTCTCTGCCTTGGTTTCCTCTCTCCATCAGTCCACTTTAAATGAGTGATTTGAAAAGCACTTAAGAGTGGTACACATTCCACAGTAAGAACAATGCAAGTGCTTGTTTAATAAATAAAATTAAAGTGACACTGCTTCTTTACATCACTGCAGGAACAGCAGCTGGAACAGAACTTAAGAAGACATAATTCTCTCATTTTATAGATGATAAAGCTGAGGACCAGGGAAAGTTAATGCAATACACCAGGGTGGAAAATGTGACTGACAAGAGATATTACCCCTAGGAGGCTCACTCACCAACACAGCATGCTTTAGAAAGAAATGGAGCAATTTTGTCCAAGAAAACAAAACTCTGATGTCAAAATGAACCTATAAATGACTTGCATTTGCGTCTCCTGATTTATGAAATTATTTAAATAAATATCTACTAAGTGCTATGAAATATAAAAATTTAGAATGCAGTAAACCTGGAAAGCCTGGTACATTACTCAAAAGTCAGCCAACTGAAAGTAAAATCAATAGTTAATTTTCAAAAAAATCAGTGGAAATAATGGCCCGATGGCCTTGCCCATTTAACTCCGAAAATGATGGTTTTCTTTTCCTCTTTTCTTTCTCTTTTTTTTGGAGGGAGACGGCAGCGTTGTCAGTCATATAATCTCACAGATTGTACTTCAGCAAAACACAGTTCTTTGAATCTGAACGTGCTCACATGCTCTACTGGGATTCTTTCTACCTTGTAAAGAGGAAAGAACATTTTACATCCTAGATATATCTGATTCTTTTCCATCCCTTAAAAACATTTTCAAGTTAGACATAAATGGTGACTAGCCACTCATCCTCCATCTCTCAATGACTTTGAGAGTCAGTATAGACATAACTGCTCTTTGGAAAACAAAAACTTGTTGCAGAAGGTGATACACTTGAGGAACAACGTGAGCAAAATGCAAATTTCAGTTTGCGTGGCTCTGTCCAGGAGAAACAGTAGGTGAAATGCAGAAGATGCACCCAGATAAACTGAGTCACACAGGAACATGCAAAACAGCTGCAGAGACAGGCAAAACCCACATGCGGGCACGCCTCACCCCACCACCAGCAAGCACCCTCAGCTCACCCAGGGCTGAGTCACCCTTACCCAGATCTGGTGTCACAGCCCGCTCTCCTACTCTAGCAGTCCCTATGCCCATCTGCGTGTTAATCCACAAATAAATCCTTTCCATATCTACTCCCAAAGGCTCACGTTAGGTCTTTGTCAAGGTAAAGCATCATATTTACTGTAATGTTCATGTCTTCGTAAACCATTTAACATATGAAACAGTGCTACTATTTATATTAGGTTCCTATCTTCATTCTTAAGTATGTTATTGCAGATGCTCTGCAATGTTGTGCCTCTAATGGGGTTTTCCCATAAACTCTAAGGCTTTTTTTATCGTGTAGTAATGCATGCTGCATAGTGATTTTTAGGACACATAAATGACCAACAGCAAAATTCCCTGTACTCTGAGCTCCAGGTCATCAAAGTTACAAAATTTTAAATCCAATAAATAGGAATTATCTGTGAGAACCACAACCAGTCTTAAGGTTTCTCTTCAGTTGATTTCATTCTGTATAGAATTTTACATTTCTCAAACCACAGCTCTTGGAATAAATATCTAGAAAAAAAAAGAGTTATACACAGCATTTGACTAATAAACATGTGAATTACTAGATATAAAAAGGTTTAGAAATATGACTTTCAAAAGATACTACACATAATAATTTAAGTTATTCTACTCAATTTTAATGTAATAATGCTCACCTCTTGGTCAAAAATGAAAAATACTTCAGAGTTTTTAATCTCAAAATGTGTCTGACAAAACTGTTAAAACATATTACTTAAACTCAGCTCCTTCAGCTATTAATCTATCCTCCTTTGCTTAATTTTCGTGATCAATTTCCCTGATCATTGTGAATTACAATATACATAAAACAAAACATTTGGTATAAACTAGACCCTTAATTTTAGTGCTCCCCACTCAAAGCATAAATAGAATTATGTTCCAGGAAGTATTCTTGAGCAAGTAAAAACTGGAGGATATTTTTTTTGGGAGGACATTTTGTGCTTTTCAAATAGACAAATCAGCAGAGTTAGACACAAAAGCTGAATAAGAGTTAAAATAAAAAGAGAACTTTGCTCCCTTCATACTGAAAACCTGAAGGGGATGATTCTCTTTGAAGTTCATGAAAGGCATGCAGAGGAGAAACACTCCTCAGCTCTGTGCAGCTAAGCAAAAGCACAACACTTTAACTTATCGCCTAAGAAAGTTCCAGGCCAGACACCACAAGTCTTCCTATTGCAAATGCATGTTTAACTTAACCCGAAGGAAACCCACTAGCCTGCCTGCTCCCCCTCCAAGTAAATTAAATTTGGCAACCATGTCAACGAAATAAAAGTGTCCTGCTGTTTTGATATTAAATTATTTCACGAAGAACAACTAGAATGTAAATAATCTCTTAAAAATAAAGAAGAAACATTACCTATACAAACACAAAATTGATTCTCACTATGACGTAAAGAGCTTTGTCTTTTTTGTTTGTCTGCTTGTTTTGATAAAAACCAACCAGTATTCACTCCTGAAATTACTCTTAAAAAACTCAGCGTGAGACAGCACAAAAGATTCTAAAAAGGAACTGACTATTCCTGCTGGGAATATAACACAACCAGTGAAAACAACTGGAAATTCTGTCTTTCTCCCTCTATAAAAAGCTTATTTACTTTATGTAATACTTGACAAAAGCCTTTTAATGAGATTCCATGAAATATCATAAACTAATTTAGGAAAGAATTTTTAATGCCAGCAGGATATCTAATTTCCTGAAGTCCAAACAAGAACACTAAAAAAAAAAAAAATTCATTTTATTTTTGAAATTGTTCTATATAACTATGTAAAATACTGTACACACGTAACTGACATTGACACATACGAAAAAGTTGCTTAGAAAAAACTAACCTTTAAAAGCTAATGTTTATGTGTATTAATAACTTGTAATCACACAATACATAACATTTTTCTAGGTCAAATATTTGTGATGCAAAAAAACAAAAAATGCCATTGCTGATTTTGTACCTTATTTGGAATATTAGAAAAAGACTCTCTCAGCCTGTTTCAAAAATGGAAGCTCCTAGTTTCCATAGTTCTACAGCATTCCAGGTAATCTGCTTACTTGGTAAATAAAACAAAAAGAATATGTTGGCTTTGTCACCATCCTCACCTCGGTGAGTCCAATGGTACTATTCTGCTTACAAGAACATCAAAAGCAATAAAATTTCATAATAGTCTTAGTCTGTTGTTGCCTCTCCTTTAACTTGAAACAAGATATGAAAACAGCATATGCTTCAGAGCCATAATTATTTAATTTTTCCTCCAAATCGGCACCAGTGAAAGTGAAAGTACCATCAAGTGAAAGTGCTTCTACTCAAACTCCAGAATATTCCTTGTGGGGTCACTCAAACATCAACAAAAGGCTCAGGAGTCGACTAACGCAGCGGTCCCCAACCTCCAGGATCTAATGCCTGATGATCTGAGATGGAGCTGATGTAATAATAGAGTGTACAATAGATGTAAAGCGCTTGAATCATCCTGAAACCATGCCCCTGACCCTGGTCTGTGGAAAAATTGTCTTCCACGCAACCGGTCCCTAGTGCCAAAAAGGCTGGGGACCGCTGGACTGACGGACACCAAGTATCCCAGATGACACGCAGGGACTGTTAGTGACCATGTGCTGGGAACAGGTCCCCAAGTTTCTGTACCTTGTCTGCCTCTGAGCTGTGAGGTAACAGCAGCGGCACAGATGAGCTGTCCAGGCTGAATGGCAAGAAGGCTGAGGCTCTGAAGCACAGAATTTCTGCAAGCTTCAAAGGATCATGTAACAGTTATACTAACGCGACAATTTATAAATAAGTAGAAGGCTGGCGAGATTCATGGAACTGCCCAGGATCACATAGATAGCAAGATAATTCTTTTGACAAAAGACACAAATGGGTTAAAATTTGAATTCCTAAGGGTCATGAACTAAAATGTCCACATCATAGTAGAATAGAACCCCAATAAACTCCTGAAATATAATTTAGTTCTTATTCTTTTCTTCAACCAGAAGTATCACCACATCCTTTACAAAAAAACCCATATGGTCAAAATGGATACAATTTACAGTGCAAATACTAAAACCATTTGTTTTATCCTGTGCCATCTACCATGTATAGAAATGGACTTGTTATAACGAAGCTTCTTTGGTAAATATTTAGTGAATTTACCTGTATTCTTCACTACAACTTCGTTAGTCATGTTTCACAACTCCTTTAGGGTTATCGTATTTTAAAACTACAGAATATCAAAGATATTAAATTGAAACTTTTTTTTCCTCTGAGGGAAGAGGAACAAAATTCAAAACCAGTACACAAGTATTTTAATCATACCATATGGACGTTTCATATTTGGCATCTTAAATACCTTCCAGAAAATATCACGTACAATTAATCAAAAACATCCTCAAGTGTTTACATACTAGATCTCTTTTTGAAGTAGTAAGATATGTAATTACCCTGCACTTTAAGAAATTTCATATAGCCTGACACAAAAACAATGGATTACAAATATTGGGGTTTTTTAAAAAGCAATTAACCAACTGAAATGAGGGTTTAAACCAGCTACTTAACAACCTGATAGTGTATATTACTGTAATATGCATGTGTTTCTAACTTTACTCTGGGAATAAATTTTACTCAGCCTGATTCCAATTTGGCAACCAATCTCAGGAGACTAAGTAAAATCTAGATTTTTTTTTAAAAAGGAAGTACTTCCCTTCCTTTAAAGTGATTTCAGTATCTTAATAGAAGATATGAATAAAAGGTAATGAGTCTTTTAAAACAAACATGCCAAAATGTACACACCCTAAAACAAAGTTCTATACCTGTTGATGCCATTTCTAAAATACTTAAAAGCCACTGTGAGTGAATCAGGTACATGAATAAGCTTGAGAAAAGCTGATTTGGTTTTGAAAGGGGATAGAAGGGAGCCAGTTATTTTTAAAGGTTCAGATTTCCTTCATTGACTCTAATTGCAATTTGATAAGGACACAAAACTGTACTAAGCATCAGTGGCCTGAGCACACAGCCTCTATTTATACAGAAAAACCACATCCGAAGGCTCAAAATGTTCATTTATATATACACTTCTCTGATATGAGATTGAACACTTTAGATTCACCACCTTTAACCATATATCACATAATTCTGACTAACTTTTGAAGTGTTAATTAAGAAAAAAGAGGACTATAATGAGAATAGAGCATCAAATAATAAATAATATTTAACATTAAAAAAAAAAGAGAGATAAATCCAGAATGTGGGACACACTAAAAGACAACAGGTTTGATCTTTAAAAGGGCAAAAACCATGGAGGAAAAAAGAAGAGATTAATCCAGATTCATAGAGAATAAAGGGACATTAAAAATGTGATCTATTTCCTGGAATTTAAAAAAACTATACCTATAAAACAGGGATTATTAGGGGTGTTTGGTAATAATTATATTACAGAATTACTGTTAATTTTCTTAGATGTTAATTTTCTTAATTTTCTTAGATAAAGTTTTAGGTTATGAAGGAAGAGGTATTTATCTTTAACAAAATACATGATGAAATGCTTAGGTATATAGTTTAGTGCAAAGTCTAACTTTGCCTATTCACACAATAAAGTATCATTAACAAAATGTTAATGATTCATGAAACTAAGTGAAGAGTACTCAGGTATTCAATATATTACTTCAATCTTTTTATAACTCTGAAAATTCTCAACATACAGAGTGGCTGGGAAAAGCAGCACCTGTAGTTTCAGATGCTGACTTCAAAGGGCCTACCTAGTAACACAGTACTTCCCCTCTGTCTAATCGTAACCTCTAAATCAGTGGTCTCCTAATCAGGCAGATACATTCCAGAGTACCGACTAATGAACCAGAGATAAGTGAAAAAATATTAGAATTTCTATTAATAAATTTTACTCTTATCCTTGTAAGATTTCTTGGGTTTCATAATATACTACACATATTACTACAGTAGAATTTGTACCATTTGTAAATACACATATTTTGAGGCCATAAACTCAAAAATATTTGTTACTGATGGCATCAGATAAAAAAATTTGAATATACTCTTTTCTAAAATACACATAACTTTCTTAAGTCTATGAACACCAAAAGATATTAGAACCAGTTCCTTTCATGTTTATGCAGGAGCTTACTGACACTTAATATGTAATCCTTATCAGAAACTCTGACTGGAAAAGAAACAGGAAACTGAGAATAATGGCAATGGCAAGTATTAACATAAAGCTAGGAGTCAGAAAACGAGCAAAGAACAGTATGACCACAAGTTATCACCAATAAAGAATTGGGCTTTGTTCAATAAAGAAATCTGTATGGAAAAAATATTTCTGAAGCAAGAAAAATCAGGAAGGAAAAATAATCTCAAAGGAAGACCATATTAAAAAAAGAGGGCATAAAATTCAAGGAAGCTTTGATTAGAAACAGGGGCTGTAATCTTAAATAGCACAGAAAATAATCCAGGGACTTCCCTGGTGGTCCAGTGGTTAAGACTTCAACTTCCAAAGCAGGGGGTGCAGGTTCGATCCCTGGTCAAGGAACTAAGATTCCACATGCCTCATGCTCATAAAGAACAAAATACAAAACAGAAACAATATTGTAACAAACTCATTAAAGACTTGAAAAATGGTTCACCTCAAAAAAAAATCTTTAAAAAAAATAAAGAAAATCATCTAGGTTTTGACAAGAATGATTCTAAAATAAAAGATAACTGAACATAAGGTCTTTGAGAAATAGTTAAGTTTCTACTTTATTCTAAAGGGTACAAAGATTCATTGACAATGAAAAACTTTTTAAATTAGAAAATTATATGATTTTGCTATTAAATAAAGAATGATACAACAACACTGTATAATTGCTAACTGGTAAGATGAGAAAAAGAAAACAGTGATTTTAATGTCTTACATGAAAATTTGACAAATTATACCAATGGACCTCAATTTAGAAAATAACTATAGTTTTCGCAGTTGCAGAGTTTATCAGATAGGACACTAATTTATCTTTTATAAACTTGAAGCCTGGGACTAAAGGTAAGTTTCATGCTGAATTATACATGTGTCATTTATGAAAACTATGAGAAAAGAACACTAGGGGTCTACTAAGCATTTTAATTACATAAATTAAGAGGTATACAGACAAACTTTCAGAAGTTTTTAATACAGTGAAGAAAATCTCTGGCACAGAAAAAGGTTCCTCATGAGTAGGAGAGACAGGAACAGCAAAGCAGGACCACGGAGTTCGGGGAAATCAGGGGAAGGACGCACTATGTATCATTACTAGTAGGTAGGTTTAAGACACTGATGTATTAGCCATCCGACTGACCATGGGGTTTGTTGGCTACTCTTGCTAGACAGTAACTGGGCAGAGTTTTTCCATTCAGATGTCACTGGCTTAAGGATACACAAACTTTATAAAACTTTATAAAAGTAAAAAAAACCTTTTTACTTTTACTTTATAAAAGCAAAAAAAAGTTTTACTGAGAAGTAAAATTTGCTTCCCAGAAATTCTTATTATAGCTAATTTATTTTATAAATAATTCAATTCCCTTTAAAAGGGGACAGCTACCTGTTAAAGAAAAATGTTACAAAGGTGCAGCACATACTCTGGTTGCAGAACAAAATCACTGTGCTCCTAATTAGTCCTCTCCTATTTCTATCCTTGCCCTGTCACCTGAAAGATGGAAAATCCAGTGCTTCCTTTTCGGTGGAATTTTTTTCCATCTGGTATTTTCATACCTAGTAAGTGAAAGCTGTTTAATTGCTAAGTCATCTACAGCTCTTTTGTGACTCCATGGACTATCATAACCCGCCAGGATCCTCTATCCATGGGATTTCCCAGGCAAGAAAACTGGAGTGAGTTGCCATTTCCTTCTCCAGGGGATCTTCCCAACCCAGGGATCAAACCAGCATCTCCTGCACTGCAGGCAGATTCTTTACCACTGAGCCACCAGGGAAGCCTAGTAAAAGAAACCTGCAAGCTTATAATATAGTACTAGTTTTAAAGTATTTTTAAGTATTCATCATTTAAATCTTTATAAAAGCCTAGTAATATTACTAGGTAAAGAAACTTACACATGCCTTGTAATAAGAATAGCCTTTTTTCATTTCACCATTCTTTGACTTTTACAAGGCAAAACACATACTAGAGAATATGTCATTGATTTTACAGCATGAAGCGTATCAAAACAAAATGGGACAATGATACATTTTGCCATTGGTATTGGGGAATTTATCAAAAGACAGAGAAAAATACAGTATGAATTGAGACAAAGTGTATCACTTAAACTATTCAAATGGCAATGAAAAATATTACAATCTTTTGACAATGTTTAGCAAAAAACAACATATTAAAAATTTTAATGTAAAGTTTGATTTCGAATTTTAAAATTACTGTTTGAGGGCAAAGTACTCTAAACTTAGGAAAACACAAATTAGGGTGATGTAAATTTGAACCTACCTTGTCAAAGGTAGAATCATGGTGTCAAAAGGGAAAGCAAGTACCTGATCACAATATAGTCTCAGAAAATACAAATTAAATCTTCATTTATGGTGTGAAACCTGTTAATAAATCAGTTCATTTACTATGGTACTCAATTCTTCAGTTGTTTCAATAACAGTGTTAAATAACAGCACAACTTGGGAAATTATAAATATTTAAGGAGATTAAAATATCAGCAGAAAACATATTTCATATGGATTAAAAGAAAAAGCATTCATTTAAAACTGCTTCTGAATAAGAAGCCAAAATAATTCCATTCGGGAACTGTAAAAGAGAGGAGAGAGAGAAAACAGCCTATAAATCCAATTTCAAAGACAAGAATAAATATACAAACTGTTAAGCAAAGCCAGGAATCTAGATGACTTTGAAACGTCTACTTACACTCATTTTAATGAAGAATTAAAGGATACAACGTGTTAAAGACATATTTAAAAGACTAGCAGTGGAATAAGACAGATGAATTGAATTTCACGGTAGCCCAAATAATTACAAGAGACTGAAATTGTAGTGTAATTCCTGTTCTCTTTCCAGTTTAAAAGCTTCTATTCTTTGCCTCTATCTTTGGTGTCACTGCCACCAATAAACACAGTATACAGCTTAAAAACCTAATTACTATCTTCTACTAGGAAAAAGTAAATCGACATTATCTCTTTAAAAGTTAAGGTATAAAAGAATGCAGTCCAACTTGATTTTTGTCTCATGGTCCCACAGTATTCTGATATATCATGCCAAAATGTCAAAGTTTCAAGGGGAACATCATCATTTGCTAGAAATGCACCAAAAATTTAGCTACTGTACGCTGGTGTGATGACAGCTAGTAGTATGCAGAGGCTACAGAATGACATAACATACGTGCGTTCAGCTCCCAATTACTCCCAGGAAGGTTCAGTTGAATGGGAAACTGAAACGGGGACAACATAACACCTTCATGTACATATGCTACAGTTTTGTTCTCTTGCAGTTTAAAAGGATAGTGTAATTATCTTCAATTTACACAAAACATTATGAAACATGGTAGCTGTTCATGATTAAAATAAAATAGCAAGGTCAATTAATTTAACAGTGTTAAATATATTCACATGATCACCACTTGTGATTCAAAATGGCCAGTAGTGAAGTTACACAGCAACCTATGTACACAATGTTTGCCACAACAGTGTTGCTAAGTTTGACTCTTTGCAGGCCAGGTGGTTTTACGAGACAGATAATCTTGCATTGATCCTTTCATATTATGAAAGGAATTACACGTTGTAAGTAGTTTCATTCCTCACAGGGGAGGGGAGGGGAGACCCTCTAAAAAGTCAGTGCAAATTGAAGAGGGATCTCCCTTCTTGAACATTGGAACGTGTTGACCAAGATACGATTCCTATAAGCTGAGGGTGAACCAATCTTAAGATATTAAAGGATCTCGTAACATTGCCATTGGCGATCGGCGGGTATTTGCCACAAAGGGGACTCCAGTCCTATAGCAGAGCCTTCTGGGAGTACGGCTGCTGCGGCTGAGGTGGCTGCTGGCTGCCCCCAGGCTGGGGCATTGTGGACGGTAACGTATAGTTCGGCACCTGGGACAGGCTGGTCCCTGCGTTCTGGTAGATGGTGACGTCGGGAGCAGCTGTGGCGGCAGGGGGAGGACTGTACACTGAAGCCGGGCTGGGATACGTACTTCCCGGGACGGAGCTGACCATTGTGCTGTGGAGGGGAAAGAACACTCAAGTTAGGTCAACACTGACTTACACAGCCATTCAGAGATCAACAGCAAAGCTGTTCACTAAACTTACTCAGTCAAGCGATCCATTCCATTAGGTATTTATTAAATGGCTAGAATGTGCCAGATACTGCTATCTGAGGCATTGGGCTATCATAAAGGAAGAAGTGGGGGAAGTCTCCACCATCATGGAACTTATATTCTAATAGGAGGAAAAAAGATGAGAAAAAAATGTGTAATATGTCAAGAGGTAGTGACAAGAAGTGATATGAAGAAACACAGGGACTCCCCGGCAGTTCAGAGGTTGAGGTTTTCACCTTGCAATGCAGGGGGTGAGTTTGATCCCTGGCCAGGGAGTTAAGATCCCACATGCTAAAAAAACAAAACAAAACAAAACATAAAGCAGAAGCAACATTGTAACAAGTTCAAGGAAGACTTTAAAAATGATCTAAATCAAAAAAAGACAAAAAGAAACAAAGTATCCCAGGAGGACCACTAGTTCCTGGGACAAGAGATTCCTGTGGATCCAGGATGGTGGGGGAGGCCACTCAGATACAGCAACACTGAAGGAAAGACCCGAAAAGAGTGGGAGGGGGTGACATCATCGATCTAGGAGAAAGGGCACTTCAGGCAAAAAGAACAGCAAGCCTGTGAGAAAAGGCCAGGCACCGTCAAGAGGCAGCATGGAGGCCTTGATGGCTGAGCAGAGAAGGCAGAGGGCAGAGTGGCATGAAATGAGACAGCAGAAACAGGAGAGGCGCCTGTGTACACAGGCCCTGCAGACTGAGGTCAGGATCTGGGCCTGTGGCTGAGGGGGATGGAGAATCACTAGTTGGATTGTGGACAGAAGAGCAATCAGGACTTTGCTGGCTCAGTGATTAAGAACCCGTCTGCCAAAGCAAGGGACTCGGGTTCGATCCCTGGTGGCGAACTAAGATCCCACATGCTGAGGGGCAACTAAGCTGCTCACCATAACCAAAGAGCCCATGCGCGGCAACTGCTGAGCCTGCGCACCACAACTAGAGAGGCCCACGTGCCACAGCCAGAGAAGTCCACGCGCACAACTGGGCAGAGAAGCCCCTACGAGCTGCAGTGAAGACCCACCACGGCCAACAAAGGACAATGTGACGCAACTTGGTTTTAACAGGCTCACCCTAGGGTGACGGAAGTCTGGAAAAGTGACAATCTGAGAATCGAAAATCTATGTAAAAGAATAAGAAACTGTCTGCTAGATATGGACCGAGGGACACTAAAATACCTGCCTACCAAAAACACAGGAAAAAATTCCTCCTAACTGTGATGTGCAATTAGAACGCCTGAAGTCAAATATGTCATATACCCCTATGATGTATATGTCCACCTCCATTTCCACTACTTCCAACTCTGTTAGCGTATGTTTGTTTTGCCGTCAGTTTTCTCATTCAAACACACTCAGATGCACATGTACATACACACAACTGTTCCTAATATATCTTTTTTAAAATTGTCTCAAGGTCTTTTTGAAGACTTTTCAAGAAACTGAAATATATAACTCACTGGCCTAACACAGCCCTTGAAACTCCCATCAAAACATTTATTTCTCAAGTATCTACTGAGTTTCCACCAGGTATAAAACTGTGCTATACAGTGTGGCTCTAAAGGTGACAGATCCCACTCCAGCTCTCAGGATACAACAGCCTAGCTGGGGACAAGACGACACAGTGGGCTGGGGGCCTGGGAGAGCAACAGAGGAGCACCAGCGCTGGCGAGGGGGAGAGCAAGACAGCCTTGGAGCAAAGATGAAGCTAAGAACTAAAGAATGAGTAGAACAGCCGGATGAAGAGGACTAAATATTTTGATATTAATGCTCTACCAAAAGCACCTCTTGAAAAGCACCTGTGTTTCCGGAGAGGTGACATTTACAGCTAGCCAGTAGCCAGGCTGGGGGATACAGCACAGGCCATGGGTCCAGGACAGGGGTTCATATCCAGGTGGCAGGAGAGGACAGGGCAGTCCCCAGCCAACAGTAACACGGCACTCTGACTCTGCAGCACCCACTGTCAGAGCAGCTCATTTACAAGGATAACACCTCACGGCTCTGGACTGAGATCCAAGCAACCTTCAGTGGCGAGAGCAACTAGAGCCGCGCGTGACCAGGTCACCAAGGACCAGCTGGGATACAGCAGTACCTCTGGATAAGGCTCCAGTTTCTAAGGGCTTCCTACTTCATTCCCGTACACTGGCTCACTTCTAAACAATTTCCACCTCTACTCACTCTGATCTAATTTTAAAGTAACATGTTACTCTCCTAAAAGCTGCTCCCTACCGATTTCCATGTAAGGGTATTTGGTTTTAACAAACTGAGAATTAGAAAAATAAAAAAGTCCTTGGACAGACAGAAAGGGTCCCACCTAACTTTCCCCTAAACTCTGTAACCCAGTAGGGAGTGCCATCGTCTGGCTGCTGTCATCTGATGCCTGTAACAGGCTTCCCCATTACCCCCTTTCTTAGGTCACTTCAGAATACGAGATGTGACCACAAAATCACGTGTGCAACCCCTCAGCATCTCTAGAGCGGGGCTCCTGAGGCTGAACAGTGCAACAGTGAGGGCAGGACAGGAGCTCTGAGACGACTCCAACATGGATGGAGGTTCCTAGAAATTGTGCCTGTGTACTGAGAAACTTCTGTTGTGAACTCTTAGGTCTACCTGTTTGAGTCAAAGGAATGACTTCCCGTTGAAGTAGAAAAAGCATTCATAAATTATGAATAATATAATGCATACATATAACCATTTACATGACAGGGCATTATATGTAAATGACCAAAACAATGACCCTGACATTTTATTACCAGCTACTCACCCCATGAACCATGGGGGTGTCAGCTTCTTGTTACTGTCTCCTTCCATGTGGTTTATTAAGCTGTGATATATATACTAACTTCCTACCAGGGTAAAAAGGACATATTTGTTTCTAAGAGATAGCTCAGAACTATAAATTGTAAAAGAATAATCAAAGAACATTTAGCTTTTATGTGAAATTTGTATAAAATGTTAAATTACAGTAATCAAAATAAACTTAAGTAATGAGTCGTTAGCTAATATCAGACTCAGATAAAAACAAAAGAAATTCTGATGGGAAGGAATATCAAAAATACCTAGCTACAATGTTATGTGGCAGCCTGGATGAGAGGGGAGTTTGAGGGAGAATGGATACATGTACAAATCTGGCTGAGTCCCTTTGCTGTCCACCTGAGATGATCCCAACACTGTTAACTGGCTATTCCCCAGTACAAAACTAAAAGTTAAAAAAAAACGACGACGAGGTAAAATCAGATTCCAGTAGTTCAAGGAACCAGTAGGGCAGAGGACTGGCAGGCTGGCTGGCACTGCCACGCTGCACGGGGGCCCAGAGAACCCACTCGCCACCACAGACAGTGATGGCGCCCTGCTGCAGCGATGACACCCGTCCTGCATTTTTTAAATCCAGTTTTCATGACTACAGATGATCCACGGCATTCAATAGCATTACCCACAAACAACAGTCAATAATCAAATTACTTGGGGTAGGAAGCCTGGGCTTGCTGAGTAGGAAGGGCTGGGCTTGCAGATGGCGGCACTGCTGCTTGGCTGAGGGAAGACAGCTGCTCGGGGGGCAGGCTGTAGCTCTGCAGGTGGCTCATCTGGGCGCTCCCTGCGACCAGGTAAGCACCACTCTGAGGTGGGTACACCTAGAACAGTTCCACATAAAACATGTTAGGTTCCCTCTGATTTTAACAGGCATGCTTTCAATTACAAACAGAACAACAATCACATCTCTGAAGTCTTTTAAGTTACTTCTGCTGTCAGGCATTTGAAAGTTACTTTTCAGTGAAGGGGGCTTCTGATGATTTTTGTTCTTAGGTAAACAATAGCAAAACTCACGCTCCCCTTCATACAGAAGCAGTAAAGGAACTTACCTTTTAATCTGATACTGATATAATCTCTCTTTCCATGTTGATACTGTATCTCCCTAAAAGGAATCCCTGACTCAATGGACATGAGTTTCAGCAAACTCCAGGAAATAGTGAAGGACAGGGGAGGCTGGCAGGCTGCAGTCCATGGGGTCGCAAAGAATCACATGACTTAGTGACTGAACAATAACAACAACAAAGGAATCCCCCCAAATGCTTAAGAAAGTGTATTTGAATTCACTGTTTTACAGCAAGAGTTCACACTAGCTTCTCGATACCTATCAGAGATATACTAAATATTTCCTAAGTTACATTTTATTGAACACAGAGCAAGCTAAGCTACCCTTCAAAGTCTGCGGGGTCAGCAGACTTTGTCAAGGGCCTGGACAGTACACGTGTCAGAGTTTGTGGACCACGCGGTCTCTGTCGGCACTACTAAGCTCTGCTCATAGAGAAAGCAGTCAGAAATGATGTAGAAACTGAAGAGAATTGCTGTATTTCAATAAAAGTTTTAAAAAAAGAAAAACCAGGTGCAGGGGCTGGATTTTTGCCCTTGGGCCATTGTGAATCCTTGCATCTAAAAACTGTATTTGTTTTAAGCCAGAGAGATTAAGGTCTCAAGTGCCTCCCCAAACTTAACATGCATAATATTCTAATTTTCTGTAGTATTCATTAGATCCTTCCATTTCACATGTTTGAAAACTGTTCAGGGAGAGTGACTCTCACCAGCTGTTACTGTAAGACGGTGACACCACCGTCAGGACACAAAACCACCACCGTGTGAGCGCCTGTGTTAAAGCCACGAGGCGCACTACACACAGAATCCAGAAGGGCTTCATTGTAAACAGTTAGTCCAGTCCTCACAATCCAATCGTTTGTACTTTGCAAAACCAACAGGAAGGGGTTCTGTTTGTCTGCTGGCTCGCACTGGTGTCATGACTCATGGGTAGGTGTTGTCCAGCCCCACATTTCTCAGGTCTGGCTGCTCTTCTTCAGGGTTCTGGCCCCTCCCTTCAGGAGTGGACCTCACCAAAAAAAAAAAAAAAAAAATTCACCTGCACAAAGTTTATGGTACTCTGTGTGGATAAAATACAGTGTCTGGTGAACTGCTCCCTACACCCTGCACTTGGTGAGTTTGTGGGAAATGGGCTCTGGAAATAATTGCTGGTGTGATGAGTTTTAGGGGCCTATGCATATCACACATGTTCCCATGTAAAGGAACAGAAAAAAATCCAGATCAAGGCAGCTCACTGTAAAACTGAAAATGGTAGATACTCACAAGGACTTACTAATATTAAGAAACTGTACTCAGAGAGACAAAAACTGTCCTTCTTAACCAGACAATTAGATGTGAAAATTTGAAAATACACAGACGTTTGGATCTCACACCTGGATTCAATACGCCTGGGGTAGAGCCAATGCATCTATATTTTAACTTGATGGTGAATGATGTGCACTTCTGCATAAAAATAATTTTTTAGAGCAAGAACTATCAGTATAGTTAGCATACTATACATTGTATTTGTCAAGTAAAAAAGTCTTCTAAACTTTATTTTTACTCTGAACATTACTTTTGGGAAGTTTCACATTTTAAAAAAACATAGCTATTTCAAATAATCTCAAATATATTTGAAAATTTAAATGAGATGCTTGAGCTTTTAAAAGCTTACCTGAGAACCAGAAACACCAGATGACTGAATATAATACTGCTGATTCTGTAATTTTGCATACATGGAATACATAGGGTCTTCATTCATTAACTTGGTATACAAGGACAGGGCTTCCATCACTTTAACATTCAGTTCTGAGAGTTCTGAATGTTTTCTGAAATATTATACAAGAATGTAAAACATCACTGCTATTTACATGTTCTAAGTAATAAGATGCATCAAAATAGCAAAAGTAGGCAAGAGTGGTGTTAAGTAGACACTATTAAAAATGTAACTTGGTGACAAAACAAAATATCCTATAGTTTAACTCCAAGGCAACCACAAGTGTTTAAGATTTAGGTGTTGCTGTTTATAATAGCCAGGACATGGAAGCAACCTAGACGCCCATCAGCAGACGAATGGATAAGGAAGCTGTGGTACATATACACCATGGAATATTACTCAGTCGTTAAAAAGAATTCATCTGAATCAGTTCTAATGAGATGGATGAAAGTGGAGCCCATTATACAGAGTGACGTAAGCCAGAAAGATAAAGACCATTATAGTATACTAACACATATATACGGAATTTAAAAAGATGGTAACGATAACCCTATATGCAAAACAGAAAAAAAGACACAGATGTACAGAGCACTTTTGGACTCTGTGGGAGAAGGCAAGGGTGGGATGTTTTGAGAGAACAGCATCGAAACATGTATACTATTTAGGGTGAAACAGATCACCAGCCCAGGTTGGATGCATGAGACAAGTGCTTGGGCCTGGTGCACTGGGAAGACCCAGAGGGATCAGGTGGAGAGGGAGGTGGGAGCGGGGGGGGCCGGGATGGGGAATACATGTAAATCCATGGCTAATTCATTTCAATGTATGACAAAAACTACTGCAATGTTGTAAAGTAATTACCCTCCAACTAATAAAAATAAATGAAAAAAATAAAAATAAAAAGAAGAGGTGAAAACAAGTGAAAACTGGCATATCTGTAAAAATAAAACAAAAAGGCAGCTCTGTTTCAAGATGCAGCTTACAGAGCTCTGTAGGGAAGAGGGCACGCAGCACAGGCAGCACACACACGGTCTTACCTATCAATATCCTCCAGCTTCTCATCAATGAGAGGCCCCATCTGGTGACACATTGCTAAGACGACAAGACGGAAGAAATATAAGACAACGCTCTAAAAGATGTCATTTGGAATAATAAAAGTTCTATCAATTAACCTGAGGCCCACAGAACCCAAGACTGGTTTTCCTGGATATTTATAAAATCAATACTTTTGACTGACTGCATTGCTCTCAGAAAACTTTAGTACCAATCTTCATTTTACAACATTTTAAAATGTTGAATAAAATGTTTAATTTGGGTAGAAATGTATAAAAATTTGAATTCTACCACAGGTTTAAACTGCATGTAAACACGAGACTGGTCATAGAAGAGTGAGAAATGTTAACACTGTTTATATCGTCTTCAATTTTATTTAATAATAAAAGCATTCTGTAAGAGAACATTAGCTATAACCCTTAATTATTTTTTACTTGCGAGGTAAAAGGAAAACCAGGTTTACCTTCAAGATGAAGTAACTCTGGAAGATCCGGTTGATCATCACTGGGATCTGTACTTTGCAACATCTGTAGCAACTGGTCCATTTTATCCTACAGGAATTAAACAGTTAATATAAAAAGCAACAAATCACTGTGCCACAATGACTTCTCACTTTGTTAATTAGATAATGGATAAACTTGTAATTCACAGATATGAAAACTTCAATTTTGCTTTAATGTATTTACTATCCATGTATTTTCTTGACTACCATGTGAAGTCAGAGTCTTGAAAGCTCTTTCTTCTTGTTTTCGAAACTGATAACAGAAATTCTCTTAAATAAGAAGAAATAGAGCAACATTTAAACTTACATGTGAGTTCATTAATCTCTTACATCATGCTAGTGGATTCCATCTCACTCTCTTTTGGAGCAGCGGTGTAGCCTGGCCACAGTGACAGGTGCACCCTATCAAGCTGGCATCACCACTCATGACTAACACCTCCCTCACCACTTCTCCACTGGGGAGAACACGGCAGCTGTTTTATAAGCACGCTCAGCTCTACTCCAGCTGTTCCTCCTCTGAGGAGCACCAGAAGGATTTATTCTACATTCTTTCCACCAATGTTCAGTCTGTCATCAAAGAAAGGGAGGATGATTTGTGGTTTCTCTATTCTCCTGTGTGAAAGGCCGGGAGGCATCTCAAGGCAGTGACTCAGACCTATTTCAGAATCTTTTGTTTTAGACCAACAGAAATAAAGAAGCCATCATGACATAAACACACGTAAGCATTATATTAGCAGAGATGTATCTATATGTAAGTTTAAAAAAATCAAAATATAGATCTCCTGTACCAAACAATATTACTATAATAATTGCAAACTTTACTCCATTCATGGTTTTGACAAGATTATACTACTAAGCATAGCTACTTAGGTAAATTATTTAAAGGCTATCAATTCGAAGCAAAGTCATTATGTAAACCAAAACAAAATTCTACAGTCTGTACAGAAGGAGAACAGTTTGAGAGATGAATTAATCACTAAGAGTGAAAATGACACAACTATATTTAAAAAAACTCTCTTGAAGTCAAAGAATTTCATATTCTGAAATAGATACTACTTTTCAATGTAAAAGAGTCCTAATTTCATTTTAAGTAATCTAAAAGAGAAGGCACGTGTCAGGAAAGTGTCTGAAAGTCAAAAAAAGAGAGGAGGAGTAAAATGAGAGCTAACACAGGGGTAACTTCTGTCCTCTTGGTTTATAGAATTCTATACCCTATTTGAAACTATCTATCACAGAAATGAGGTTTCTAGGTAGACCCTACATGCATTTTCTTTATTAATATTTATTTATTTGGCTCTGCTGGATTAGGTTACAGCACATGAGATCTTTGATCTTGTTGTGGCATGAGGGATCTAATTCCCTGACCAGGGATCAAACCTGGGCCCCCAGTGTTGAGACAGTGGAGTCTTAGCCACTGGACCACCAGGCAAGTCCACACATTTTCTGATGTCATGCTATAGCTAAAGCTGACTTTCCCTGCCCCTATACAGGCTCTGGCTCTCAGCACAGCCTTCAAAAGAGTGCTCTTCGAACTTTAGTCCTCTGGCTCCCTCCAAAGAAGGCTAAAAACCAACAAATCCCTTCACATATTTCAAACAGGAATTCTCATTTTTCATCATTAGTTTAAAATGTTACAAAGGATATAACTGCCAAAAAATTAACTACTGAGATTTAAAAATAAAAGTCAAGGACGTCACTAACAGTCCAGTGCTTAGGACTCCACATTTCTAATGCAGGGGGCTTGGATTCGATCCCTGGCTGGCGAACTAAGATCTCACATGCTATGCAGTGCAGCCAAAAAGTAAAAAGTAAAGTAAACAAATAAAAATAAAAGCCACACATTCTTTTGAATTTATCCAAAAAGTCTCATTACAATAGTGTAACAGCAAAAAAAAAAAAAAAAAAAAAAAAACCCACAGAGAACTGAAAACAACCTAACTGTCCAACAATAGAATGAAGTCATGATAAACCCATACTATGCTCCAGAAAAATAAATGACCCAATCAAAAAATGCACCAAAGAACTAAACAGACATTTCTCCAAGGAAGACATACAGATGGCTAAAAAACACATGAAAAGATGCTCAACATCACTCATTACCAGAGAAATGCAAATCAAAACCACAATGAGGTACCATTACACGCCAGTCAGGATGGCTGCTATCCAAAAGTCTACAAGCAAGAAATGCTGGAGAGGGTGTGGAGAAAAGGGAACCCTCTTACACTGTTGGTGGGAATGCAAACTAGTACAGCCACTATGAAAGACAGTGTGGAGATTTCTTAAAAAAGTGGAAATAGAACTGCCATATGACCCAGCAATCCCACTTCTGGGCATACACACCGAGGAAACCAGATCTGAAAGAGACACGTGCACCCCAATGTTCATCGCAGCACTGTTTATAATTGCCAGGACATGGAAGCAACCTAGATGCCCATCAGCAGACGAATGGATAAGGAAGCTGTGGTACATATACACCATGGAATATTACTCAGCCATTAAAAAAAATTCATTTGAATCAGTTCTAATGAGATGGATGAAACTGGAGCCCATTATACAGAGTGAAGTAAGCCAGAAAGATAAAGACCATTACAGTGTACTAACACATATATATGGAATTTAGAAAGATGGTTACGATAACCCTATATGCAAAACAGAAAAAGAGACACAGATGTATAGAACAGACTTTTGGACTCTATGGGAGAAGGCGAGGGTGGGATGTTTCAAGAGAACAGCATCGAAACATGTATACTATCTAGTGAAACAGATCACCAGCCCAGGCTGGATGCATGAGACAAGTGCTTGGACCTGGTGCACTGGGAAGACCCAGAGGGATCGGGTGGAGAGGGAGGTGGGAGTGGGGATCGGGATGGGGAATACATGTATATCCATGGCTGATTCATGTCAATGTATGACAAAAACCACTACAATATTGTAAAGTAATTAGCCTCCAACTAATAAAAAATAAAATAAAATTAAAAAAAACAACCCATACTATGGAAGATTAAGCAAGAAGTTAAAATAAGAAAGGACAACTATACCTACTGACATGGTAAGAAGGGGACTAGAGAGGAAATTTCCAGGAGCATCTTGGCTTGATCTGTATTATTTGAATTTTTATAACAACAAAATACATGCATTAATCAAGGACTGAATTTTTTAGAGAAGAGAAGAAAACCATTTCAACTTCAATATCAAATAAGGTGCTCTCGGGCAGAAAGTCACTTACCTCATCAATGTAGGCTTGTTCTGGCTCTGGTTCTATCGTTTCTACCTGAACTTCATCACTAAATTGTACCGTCTTCTTCTCCGTTTTAACTGAAAAACATGTAACAATTATCTTTTCCATATCATAAATTTACAATTTTATCTTAAAGCACTTTAAGTTCCAGGAAAGAATCTAAGTGTTTGCTATATTCTCTTCAATCTGACAGACTCAATTTATGGAATACACCGCTAGCAGAGATTAAGGCAATAATGACAGAACAATACATTATGAAACTGTGTAAAGACTTCTTAATTTTCCCTTCTAAAGATTTTATGTTTTCCATAACAGATACTTCACTAAAAATAAGCGCTATATTTCTGGAACAAAGATTAATCACCTATTACAAATGAGAGTTCAATAAACTGCTGAATTAAAAGCAGTTTTACAATCATATAAATGAACTCTGCTATTTAAAATTAATCCTCTTTTCAAATTACCAGTTCTTTCAAAGAAAAATCTCTGCTTTTCCACAGGCTATACTCTTTCAATATAATGAATTTGGAAAGTGAGCTGTATATTTCCTGCATGCCCCTCAGACTTTTTTTTTTAACTAAGGGAATGACATTTAGGCCAGTGGAGAACTTTACAACTGGTCTTGGCAGGGGTCTGAGTTTTTCCACTAAATCACTCTGTATTTTTCAGTTACATTATTCTTTGCAATGAAAGGGTGGCTACTAAGGGATCTGCAAACTAGAAGTACATATTTCTCTTGCTCAACAAAGCAATATTTAAAAAGTATTCAATATATCACTAACTAGCAAGTATAAGGTTATGATTTCCATAGCAACTGACTTTCTCCAAAGTAATACTGAGAGGCACATACAGCCTTAAAGAAATGAACTTTCTTTTGGGATTTTTTTATCCATGTATCAATATAGTTGCCTTCCCCGGTGGCTCAGTGGTAAAGAACCCACCTGCCAATGCAGGAGACACAGGTTTGATCCCTGGGTTGGGAAGATTCCCTGGAGAAGAAAATGGCGACCCACCCCAGTATTCTTGCCTGGAAAATCCCATGGACAGAGGAGCCTGGCAGGCTACAGTCCATGGAGATGCAAAGAGTCAGACAAGACTCAGCATCTAAATAACAACAAGTCAATGTAGCCAAGCAGGATTCATAAAAATTAAGACTCAAGGTGGAAAGAGGGGAAGTGGAAAGGGGCAGAATTAAGGAAGGAAAATAATATTTATTAAACCACTAAATGTGCTTAATGGAATATTGCATTTCCCCCAATGAGTCTCCAATACAATCCTCTGAGATATACCCACCCTGTGAATGAGGTGAACAGTGGCTTAGAAAGGTTAAAAGCAATTCAATGGCAAGGCCTGGACCTGAATGCCCATCATTCTAGCTGCACTAGCCCACACTACTGGAATCCAGCCTGTGACTTTACCCTGAGAACAGTAAGTCATATCACTTATATATTCTATGTTACAAAATATAATGGAAAATAGTTTAATCTCCAATACAAGGAATATATTCATCCCACAGAAGTCACAATAAAGAAAAAGTCTACATACACAAGAAATTTCAGCTTATTTCACTTTCCCATGGGAGAAAAAAAGCCACCTGCTATAGATGTTTCTGCTTTTTATATCCTGAACTATAGACACGTAGAAAGTTGGGACAGCCCTGCAAGGCAGACTTCCCATCCTAACAGCTGACCGTGCACAAGGCTACAGTGTTCTCTCTCAGGGGCTAATACTGTTACTTTGTACGCGTGCATTACGTTTGTGTACTACGTGCCACATGTGTATAAATATCACACACACACACATACACATATATGATAAAGTCCTTTCACAAAATCTCACTGCCTCTCCAAAATGTAAACAAGCTAAGTAACTCAGGCATTTCTAATGATACATTACGTGAAGTGGACCTCTATTTCCTCATATAGACCTACAAGGATCTTGCTAACACTCCTTTTTCAAACTTGAGAACTATAACTCCATTACATAAGCTCTGATGCTCTCTTTTAGGTCGTCCAGAGTGAAACACATGAAAATAGTTAGAAAATTCACTTTAAGGCTACTGTGCGATGTGACAAGGAGAAGGTATCTTTATCCACGTGACATATTGGATCTCATCTGGAATGGACATTCAAGACAATTCTATTCAACAACTAACTCAATATAAACAAACAAAAACAAAACAAAATCACAGATAAAAACAAAAACAAACAAAAAAACTTCACAGCAAAATACAGAAAAGTTCATCATCAGGTGAGGTTAAAAAATGGGCACATTATGCACTGCCATTTAAACTAGGTTCTACAACTTGTTCTTCAGTTTAGCAAAAAAGAACTTCATAAAGGAATGGGTATCGGAATCTGTCTGTATTAAAGCGATATAAGACATCCTGACAATAACTAGGAGACAGCACTGTTTTATCCAGGATCTGTGATGTATGTTATTAAAGCCTTCTCTTGAAAGAGAAGCATTTCTGTATTTTCAAAGAAAAGTGTATCTTTACTAATACATAGACACATATCATTTATTGTATAAACATTTATACAGTCTGTATTCTGGATAAGACTCAGTACCAAGTACTGCTGGGAATAAAACAACTGAGACAAAGATCTTTTCTTAAAATTCTCGTAAACTGAAAAAGACCAAAGCAAATGGTGACTTATAACTCTCTTTGATCTTGTCTATCTGGCATTATAGAAAGATAAGATGAGCTGAGATAACTCAGATAAGCTAAGATTTTGCCAAGATAACTAACATACAAAAATTCCTTAGAACTCAAAACATTTTAGTCGCTAATAGAAACCATTCTAGATGAGAACATATTTCTGTTTCCTTAAACAGAGGAAGAATATGACTTACTCCTGATGATTCAAACTTATCATCAGGAAGATTCATCAGTCTTTTGTGGAAATACAGTGACTCGCCTACCAACATTTCGATAAGCTACTGGCAGTTGACATCTCCTGCAAAAATTATGCCTGCCCATACCACCACTTTTCCTCCTTGGCCCCACTTTTTAGTCAGTTTCTCCTTGTCAGCAAAGCTTTGGAAATCAGAAAGTACTGACATGGTTAGGTATGGTTGCTTCTGAATATCTGACATTAAGTGAAGGAAAGCCATTAAGTTGCTTAGAGGCCACTGCTTTCAAGTTTGAGGCTGGATACTAGGGAAATGAGCTAACCTTAGAACACGAAGAAATCTCCAGAAGGTTATACCGCATTTGTCACACTATTGTCAACTGATGATACCAAAAATACAAGATTAAATTCTACAACACTTCTTAATCTGCATTTCTGCAATGACATATAAATACACAAACACACTTTTTCTTTTCCTAAATAAAAGTCTACAGCCTGATAAACTGATTGAGGAACTGCATTTTTAATAAACACCTTGGAGGCTCCAACATTTGAGAATTCTTGCTCCAGAAAGATGAATTTTAGAGAATTAAGGATTACTGTCCAGTGACAGACCAGAAAATACTTACTCATTTCAGGCTCAACAGTGAGATCTGCAGTCACAAAATTCGAGGGGAAGAGCCCCATGCCTTGATGGGTTTCCCCTTTCCACCAGTTGGGGTCACTAAGAGGAACAAAAAAAGAAAGCTTTTTTATTTATCTTTACCTTTGATGGTGTTTAACTTATATCTTTACCAGATGTGAAGCCCACAAGAATCCAACGAAGGAGGAAATGGATGCAGCATTATTACAAACACAAGATGAGGTCTCAGAGAAGACATGAGATTCTAAACACAGTTCTTTTTCATATTTTGGAAAGCTGGTAAATGCTCTGAGGATCTAATATAAGGCTCTGAACTCTCTCTCACGCAAAAGACAGATCCCCAGACTTCACTGTCAACTTCAGGACTTCTCTGGTGGCCCAGTGGTTAAGAATCTGCCTGCCAATGCAGGGGACATGGTTTTAATCCCTGATCCAGGGCAACTAAGTCCACAAGCTGCACTACTAAAGACCGAGCTCTAGAGCCCACGCTCCACAAGAAAAGCCACCACAATGAAAAGCCCACACACCGCAACTACAGTAGCAGGACCCTGCTTGTTGCAACTAGAGAAAGCCCATGCGCAGCAACGAAGACCCAGCACAGCCACAAATAAAAAATAAATATTTTTTTAGAAAACTGTCAACTTCAGGTGGTTCATAGGCTCCAGCCTAAGAATCTTTTGTAACAAGATAGATGGGAGACTCTGAATCCAGACCTCCATTTCTAAATCAGTGTTCTTTGCAGCACATATTAGCATACTGTCCACCCACAAGAGAACACACATGATAGTAACATCCCTAGGAGCACAAATGTTCGCAAGGAACACAATCCCCAGCACATCCCCATGCTCACCACTGGGTCCCCAGTGCCTACGATAAGGAAAGCTAGGCAGCACTCAAGAAATATTTTTTGAATGAATGAATGATCAAGGTTTCATGCAACTTCCAAATAACCAGCGCAAACTATTTCATTTTCTTTCACTCAAGAAAACATATTAGTATGCAAGTGTGATACTACAGGAATAATCTTAGATCTATTTGAACTGATCTTCAAAAACCACCTGCAATAAATTTTAGCACTTCATTATGAGTAACAATCACCAGTAGTTATTTTCAAGTAAACATAAAACTGTAGTAAACACAGAGATGCACTGTATCATCTCTGATGATATAAATTAATTCAATATATTATATATTTCTTATAAACTCCATAAATGCATAAATATTTAGTGTATTTTCTAAAATCTTAACTTTTTTACTAACAGTGTGTAGTATTAGATAGAACCAAAAATGAATAGAGTAAACTAGGCCTCCAAAACAAATAAAAAGCATTTAAGTGATAGATGAGAAAAAAATGAAACCATAAAATACAAATCCAGACAGTATGACACAAGCAAAGCAACCAACTATCCTACAGAGAAAATACCTGAGTCAATATTTGATTTTATTATGTTTGATAAGGCAGTCAGCAGGAATAAATGAAACAGAATATATTATGTATCTTCAAGTGAATATTCAACATAATAGTAATCATCACCTGTCATCAAGAACTGTAATAATTTCTCCAGCTTTAAAAGTCAGTTCATTATCTTCAGCAGCTTCAAAGTCATATATAGCACGAACTTTCCGGCCTTCATGTTGATGGTTAGTTAAGAGGTTGGATGTGCTTGGATACAAAGTGGAAAGGGTGGTTGACTGCTGCCTTTGTTCCTTCAGGGATAACTCAATGGCTGGAAAATAATGGGTTTTAAAAAAAAGACCCAAAATGTTAATACACCCAACAATCCTAAGAAGTAAAAAAAGATATCTGAGGGTAAAAAGTATTCTTCTTTCAATAATGTAGTGGGAAGCTAGAACATATCCTGATATAATAATAGTGAACAAAAATAATGACATCAATTGTATTCATTCGTTCACAACTAAAAGTTTAAAATATAAATAGGCTAACAAAACAACTGAAGAGCATGATAGCTTTTTTTACTGAACAGGTACAATTTAAAATATTCTTGGCAATAAAGTGATATAAACTCAAATCTGTTTTTTTTAACTACAGATATTTTATATTTTCTTTCATCTTCTCAGTGTATCTCTATCACTTAAGTTTACCAACTAATAATCAAAATCACTGTGGAAGCCAAAAGTCCCAAGCTGGAGTCCTTCACTCAGGGCTCATTAAACAGAAGTCTCAAAGACAGCATTTGAGAGCCTGTGTTTTATTGTTCCAAAGGTCATTCTCAGGTAAGCAGTCTAAGAACTGGAATTTGGAAACAAATGCAGTAAAGTCTCATCTAACTAACATCCCAAATAAATCTTAAATGTGTCTGCTCTATCTCCTCCCCAGTGCAGGCCATCACCACGTCACTCAGGCTTTGTAATATAATCTTAATAAATTGACTATGCTACTTTCAATTCAACACATAACCCCTTCTTCCCTGCCACCTCTTTTCCAAATGAATGAAAGATCAGATGAGAAAATAAAACTTTAAAATTAACGTAAGAAAAAATAGGAAATCAGGATCCTGGGAGAGAGGGAAATATCTTAAGACATTAAAAAAAAAACTGTAAAAGAAAAGCAAAAATTTTGAATACATCAAAATTTAAAACTTGTTTAATACAACATGGCATTATCAAAGTTAAACTATAAGCCAAAATCCAAGAGTAAACATTTACAATAGATATAACAGGCAAATGTTGATATCCAAAGTAAAAACTTTGTATACAGCATTACTAGGAAAAAAAATATAGAAAAAGAGACAATCAAAACAGTTAATAAACATACAAAAAAGGACTGAACCTCACTAGTAATCAAGAAAATAAAAATTAAAATAATTAGGTATCATTTCAAACCCATCAGATTCACAAAAATTACTCTGACAATACCAAATGTCATCATGAGACTAGAAATAATAAGTGAATAATAAGAGCTTTCATACACTGTGGATGGGAAAGGAATACCACAACTACTTAGCAAAGTTGAAGATGTACCTACTCCATAAGCCAACAATACCACAAAACGACCTTTCACACGCACACACACACACTGAAGAACATGAAAAAGGATACTCAATGCTGCATGTGTGTTATAGTAAAAGAAATCAGAAAATCCAGATGTCCATCAGTAGGAAGGAAGTTAGGCTAAAGCAGGTGTTTATGAGAACATAAAGCAGGTGCTAATACTGGAATATTATACAGCAGTTAAAACAAATGAACAACATAAATACCTCAGTATGAATAGATCTCAAACATCACATGAAAAAAAAAGTTGCAGATGGTACCTAGAGTACAGTACTTATGAAAAAAGAATTTGCTGGAAACAAAAAAGTATTTGGTATTATTTATGGATACACAGATAGTATAGTAAAAATATTATAGAAACAAGACGGAACAGACATACACGACAGTAGCTGCCTTGTAAGAGGAGAGGAAAGACGTGATACTGAAGAGAGAACAGAGGAGAACAAAGCAGATTTCAGCTTTGGCTATGAACTCCTATTTCCTTTATTTTTAAACATCTCAGGGGGAAAAAATATCAAGGAAGAGACCTATCATCCTCCCAGGGTCAGGGACTTAAAAACTGTACCTTTCGCTAAATCTTCCTCTTCTTTTTTGTTAGCCGCAGTACCAGGATCCTTGGCTACCAGAGCTGGGCTTGCTTTCGCTTGCTCTGCAGCCTAAAACAGAAAAAAGAAATGATTTTTAAAAGCTGTTCTCAAATTTTCCTACCCCAATTAATCTAAGAACTCACAAGACCCCTCCTTGAATCAATTCACCAGACTTCTGAATAAGAAAGAAATCCAAGGGGAAGAAGTCTCCACTTTGACAGAAGACAGAGCTGAGGCAGGACTGCAGAAAACAGACTGAGCGTTCATTTCTTAGGGATGACAGAACAACCACACTTTGCCAGGTGTGAGTGAAAAGGTGACACTAGAGGCAGACAGTATGCAAACCAGCAAACAGAGGCTAGAAAATGGGGTGCAAGGGGAAAGGAGATGACTACTTTAAAAACAAGTAGTTTTTAAAACATCTAGACAAGAGTTATATTTTGTTGTTTCCTTCCAGCTCAGAAGTCAGGAATCCAGATTTCTATATAATAACATAAATGCTCATAAGATTATACTATTTTCTAAACTAAAATACTAGTAGTCAATGTTGACAGTATATTATTGTTCATCTTAAACATATTTTGTAAATAAAGTAGAGGACAAATAAACAAACACACACACTGATTCATGCTTATAGAAGCACAAAGCTTCCAAGGCCTTAATGACCGCTTACTTTTTGTGTGGCCATCAAGGAGAATTAGACTCCAGTCTCGTTCTTCAACCATTCTATCATTTACCAGAACTGCTGGTGCGCGCGGGCACACGTGCGCACACACGCACACGCGCACACACACACACTTTGACGCCTCTGACACACACTTGCTTCTACTCATAACCTCTTCCCCTCTAGCTCCTTTTACTACATCCACATTTTTTCCTACTCAGTTTCAACCCACAAGTCAGGAACAGCTAAAATATCACTTTCTCAGTGAAACATTCCTAAACCCTCAAAGTAAGCATTCCCTTCTCTGTATTCCTCTGATTTTCAACAAGGTCCTATGACATGGGTAGTTAAGAAGGCAGGCTGTGGAGTCAGGCCAATGTGATGTACATCCTAGATGTACCACCTTCTAATGCATGAACCTGGAGCCCATAAGCCTCCTTGTGTCTCAAGTTCCTCCTCTACAGAATGAGGCTGCTTACATGTCTATCCCCATAACCAGGATGTGCGTTCCTTGTGGGCTGTTGTGGCAGTTTAGTCGCCAAGTCATGTCCAACTCTTTGTGACCCCATGGATTGTAGCCCACCAGGCTCCTCTATCCATTGGATTTTCCAGGCAAGAATACTGGAGCGGCTTGCCGTTTCCTTCTCCAGGGGATCTTCTCCACCCAAGTATCAAACTTGGGTCTCCTGCATTGTAAGCAGATCCTTCTACCAACTGAGCTACCAGGGAGATTCCTTGAGGGTATATGGCCCTAAATATTATAAGCCATGATTGTTGACTAAATGAAAGGAAAATATCCAACATTATAGCAAATACAGCCTTCACTAAATATATTTTATAATGTCAAACAAATGCATGAGGCATTTATTTTTAGAAAAGCTGATAAGAAAAGAGCTTTTGGACTCACTGAATAGAACATTAAGTATTTCCAATCTGACCCACCTCCAGCTGTAACCCTCCCTGGATAAAAATGTTTTAATTACACACACCTCTTAACATTGAAGGTATGCTTCATCAGAGATAATCTTTTTCATTATATATGCTTTTTTTCCCCACAATTTAGGGAATTTCACAAAATAGACATATAGATCTTTTGTGGTCTGTGAAGGGATCTCTACTGGTCAAGAAGGAAAGGCAGAACTGAGCTATATTAAGCTCTACATTCCTGAACTGCTCTCTTTTCAAAGTTCCTTTCTATCATCAGGTTCCAAGTATAGCAACGCTACTTGTCTTATTAACCAGTCAAACGCAGTAGCAGGGCCAGCATCACTTCTCCCTCGAGGTCAAAAGTTAGTGCCATGAGAGAACCAAAGCAGCAAGAGTCAGGTGACTCAGAATGACTTTTCTTAATATTTTTACATTATTTTCTTCTCTACCTGGATGAAATAACATACTTAAAAAAATATATCTTCATGTTTCCAGAGGTTTTTATTAAATATGCTAACAAATATCTAGTCTGACTAAAATGCAGTAAGCATAAGCAACTAAGTGGCTGTAAAATTGGTAGGGACTTCTGCAGTTGATTCCAGATGACAGATTTTTTTTTTTTTTAATTAAACAAGGAGCTCTTTACAAACAGGATTTTCAATGATAAACAAGCTCTTCAGAAACTACTATTTAAAAAAAAATAGAAAACACCATTCTACCACATCATAGTTTATATGCATTTTACATATTCCCTGTGGGTGAAACACAGCAGCTGTAACAGAATGAGCTTTCACATACTTTATAACATCTACATGAAAAAAAGAAAAGTCACTCTTTCCAACTGCTAATCTACACCTTAAATCTTCTGAACAAGACAGGAATCCCATGTCTACACCCATCAGTACGTAAGCAGTCTTCCCAGTGTTCACTCCACTTCTTGTCCTTCAAATCCTAGTCCGGACAGACATATATCTACTAACCTCAATACCAAACAGAAGGCAGGATCGTGTAGTGGAAAGAACACTGGACTGAGAGCTGGAAGGCCTGTTCCAGCTCTGTCAACCACTAGCTGTGGCCCTGGGCAAGTCACTTAACCATTCTGGGGCTCAGGACCCTCATCTGTAAAATGAGGGGATTAGATTAGAAGATCACTAGAGTGGCTCCCACAACTACCTGAGACTTGAGGTTAACCCAGCAAAGCTATGGGTCCATCTGATCATCAACTCTCCTTCCTTCTCTTACAGGAGTGCAGTTTTCACTGCACGGAAAATTGTCCTTAAGGGCAGTGCTGCTCAGACTCTAATGTGCACACAGTCATCGGGGATCTCGTTAAAATGGAGCTAGTGAACCCACTGCATGGTGTGTTCCACACGAGTGAGATGACAGTTCTAACAAGCTTCCAGGCGATGATGACTACTGATGGTCCACGAACTGCACTGTGAGCACCACGCTCTAGAACAGGTTCTCGGGGCACACAAACTGACATCCCACCAAGTAGCTACACTCTTCCTTCTCCACGGTTGAGTACCGTCTTTGGTAATTAAACGCTGCTTCTGCTGTCATGTTATTATACCGTATCTTGGATTATTCTGCATAAAATTACTCCTTAACTACAGAGATTTAGAAATTATACTGAGAGTAGTAAAAATGAGCTATCAATTATGAATGACTACTTCTTAAGACATAATTTATCACTGTAAAATTAGTCATAAGCTAAATTTTTTTTCAAGTAAGAAGAAAAATCTTATTTTCTTTTTTCATTTCCAGAATATACTTCTGGATCTTCACATCTCAAGAGTACTTAGATAAATCAGAAATGCCTTAAGAAGAAAGTCTAGATGAATCACTTCATAATTCCCTTGAAACGGCCAAAACTCTGAATGCAAGCCCTTCATAACTAAGCATTTTCCGCTCATGTTTTCACACCACTCATTACATTCCAGCCCAAGCGGTATATCGGGGAAAGACAATACAGTAAGTTACCAGACATTTTAAGCCTGCTTAGTCAAGTGGGCATCCTAAATAATGGTTACCCAGAAAAGAAAAAGAATAAAAAAATCCCCTTTCATTTTTTTTTCCTATATGAATGACATAAGTTAGAGATTGAGCCCATTACATAAATAATTTTTTTAAGGCAAATTAAGCTTTTCAGTCAATCATATTTATTAGGAAGAAGAAAGAAGACTTCTGTGCTGGTCAGTTCTTATTAATGGGAAAGATGTTTTATGTGTTTCTCCTCCTAATGACCCCTTTTTATCTCCCTCCCATTTAATACAGGTGCTCATAAATTTCATAGTCCAAATAACCTCTAAACACATCCTTAAATTTTAAGGAAACATTATTTTAGAGCCGTCATTCTTTGTAGATAAAATTACAACATGAAGAGCATCTAACAAGAATGTCAGTACTAACTAATAAAGCAATTTGTTCTGTATCATTAAAATTATATTTAAAAATAATCTTAAATAACAAAACAGTTAATTCATTTAAAAAGAAGAAACAGTGGGGAAATGGAAGTTGGAAAATATTAGCAATCCACTATATATTTTTTTTGGCACCTTTATATGCAAGATTATAATTATTAATAAAATTCCTCTGGAGTATAAACAACTACCTGGATTTGGAAGAAAAAAAGAAAGCCTCAAATAAACACGGTTAACTTTAGAAACAAATGAAGCACACACAAATATCTATAAAATACCTGAGAGCCAATAGCTGGAAACGTAACACCCTGTTCCTTCAGGTTCTTAATCATTGCTGATATTAGACTAAGCTGTGGATCATTCTTGAATTCATCTGTCCATTCAACCATAAGAGCCTTCAGTTTTTCACACACTTTAGGATGACCCTGAAAAATAGAGAAAAAAATTTAACAAAAAAGCACTTTCTGTTTAATGATTTAATACAGTATTTCAGATCTCTTTTTAAATCATAAATTATTCCTAGCTATAGGTGACACATAAGAAAACACAGATGGTTACTAGAAATAAGCCAGTTTTATTTTCATATTATGGGAAAAAATAGATGATACCATCACATATGTCACATCAAACCAAAACATTAGATAGAGAGTTACTTATTTTGGAGTCAGAAAGATAGGACTTTTCAGAGTATTTTACAACTAAGAGTACTTCAGGGTCTTCTACTAACTCATATTTTACTGAATATGAGGAAGACAGGAAAATCTATTTTCTTTTTTTCAGACCAATAAAAAAATAAGTTGGAAAAGAAAATAAATAGTACAGTTCTTTTATCCCTAATTCCTGATTTTTAATATGCATGACTGTGTTTTCCTCCAATTACTTAATTATCTGAGGCCTGGCCTGAGGCCCACTACTGTCCATATTCCTAGAAACTTCATTTCTTCACAACAGCATCTCCCTCTTAAATATAAAACTAATAAGTTCACTTCAAATATCTGTAAAATAAAGTGAAGTTCTTTCTCCTATATGCAACTGCTTGCCTTTCAATGCAGTTGTTTATATTACTAAGTATTGAGTACACATCAATTAAAGAAAATATTATATTAGAATCTCTTCATAAATAGCTGTACATTTTGAATGGACATTCAAGACATCAAAAGAATAGTAAAGAATTAGTAAAAAAAAAAAAACCTAAATAAAATATAACTAAATAACTGAATAAAGTAGCACAGGAGAAAATTATCACATAACCATAATGTATTAAAAGAAGTCCAGAATTTTAAATTATCTCACTTCTTTACTATTTCCTGCTAAAATTTGGAAATGCTCATTTTTCAAAATAAAACATGAAGCATTTTCTCTTTTAACATTAAAAACAGTTTTTCTTAATAATTACCCCACCCACCACCAAGAAAGGCCAGAGATAACTACATGAATTTTTAAGAATGCATGAATTTTTATTGGGAAAACTTACATATTACTTAGTAATTAAATTTTTTAAATTCCTTCAACTGCTGGATTTGAATCCTTTACATTTTGTTAAGCAGATAATCTCTGTGCCCAAAGTAAACTGGTACCTTTTAATCAGACAAAAAAATGCACATATTTTTCATCAGAAGAAAGGAATGATGAAGAAAAAAGGTTAAATGTATCCTAATTTGGCTTCACCAAAACCAACTCTCCAAGTTATATAAATACGTAGTCTCCTCGGCAAACCTAACATGGACTTAAACATGGGATAGACATATCCCAGAAAGAGCTAAAAAACAAAAACAAAAAAACACCGACTAGTCCTTTGTGACTTAAAAAGTTGAAGAACTGAACAATAAAATACATGTAAAATACATGAAGAAAGAAGACAGTCTTAATTCATTTCTGGAAATAATGTTCTTTACCTTGTTTAATACGTTGCTTACTTCACTAGCAAAATCTCTCGAACATACTTCTAAGTGAAAAATTTTGCCACAGTTTGATACACACGCTCCTAGAAGCTAAAAGGATAAAATCGGAAGTTAAAAGGGCTTGATTTTGGCAGACAATTTTGCTGTAGATCTTAAAACAAAATCACTCACGGTGAGAGCCTGCATAGCCACATGAGGATCTTTATGGTTTACCCTCCTCATAATAGACCGAAGACAATCTTTAGGTCTAAAAAATGAAAAGTGTAACAATTAGTTGTATATTCCACTTCCCCCTCCCACCTTAACTATAAAAGGCAATAAGTTGTGATACAAAATGGGAGAACCTGGTAGAGAATTTTAATTTTTATTAATGACACAACTGAAAAACTGTACACTAAAAAGTTCCTTCAAATTTTTCAACTTAGCAATCATAGACTAGGCACTTGGGGCTAATTCTGGTTGGAAGGTTTTGAAAATAAAATGACAGATCAAGAGTTTTACTTCTAGTCATGACAGAATAAGTGGAACTCCTGTTGTAAATAATCAGAAAACTGGAAAAATATATTTAAAATACACTTGAGACGTCAGGCCACAGGTAGCACGGAATGATGATCTGTAAGAAAGAATATAAAATAGATAAACCAAACATTTGCTTCAATTTTCTACACAGGGGCACTGCAGATACTGGAACAGGCTTTCTGTCTGCAGGCAGTTTCTGGATCTCAGTGCAGAGAAGGTGATCCCAGGAAGACAGCAGTGATCTCACTGAGTTGAGGGGACAGAAATCAGGATTTTAGCAGGCTAATTTCTGCACTTTTGAAAAGCATGTTGACAAACACAAAATTATCACTTCAAAGCATGACAGAGGCCAACTATAAAAAAATTATCTGAATACTAAAACTGAAATCATTAAAAAATAATGATCCAAAGGTGAGTCAGCACTATGAGTACTTTTTAGAAAATAATTCCCAATACTTGCTTTACCACCAAGTTTTAAATGTATTGTTCATAAATCACATTAAAAAAAAAAGAATCTAAACTGCAGGGACTTGTGGAAAGGAGGATGGAGAAAGACACTTTGAAATGGATCTTTTACTTTTTATTTCACTCATTTCTATACTGCTGAAACATTTTACCACAGCCAATTTTAAAAACCAAAGCAAAGACATGCCTAACACCAAAGCATAGTTTGCTATGGCAACCATAAAAAGGATAATGTCAAACAGGAAAGTGAACTAGAATATGCTTGAGTCCTGATAAACACTTCATATATGCTAACAAAGCAATATCTTTTTAGATACATTAAGCTAAAAAAATAATCCATTCAGAGTTGTATATAAAACCGGTGCTATTAAACAACAGAAGTGACCCACAAAACACTAGTATTAACTACCTCATTCTGTTCCATGTTTTTTTAATTCATCTTTTCAGTATTTCCACAAGATTATAAGCAAAATACAGAAGTGAAACTGAAGTATATATATACACATACCATTATTAAATCTTACTATGCAACAAAAAATTATGGCTAAAATAGTTTTCAAAAAGGCTTAAGAGTTATAAGTGATTTTATATGTATACTTATAGCTGATTCATGCCGTTGAACACAGCAGAAACACAACATTGTAAAGCAATTATCCTCCAACTAAAAAAAATATCCTATGAAAAACCATAAAAAAGAAAAGAAGAAAGAGTTATAAGTGAATTTAAAGTAAGCGTCCTCTGGTTATTATCCTCTCGATGATAAATGAACGGACTATTATCCTCTCGATGATAAATGAATGTGGACTACAAACACAGCATCTGTACAATTTATCACCCATACGCATGCCCCTCTTGAGAGTGAAAGGCAGTGCTAACCAGGCATAATGTATGCACACAGTGAAACTACCCAAGGCAAACTGGATGTGTGGTCACCCCAGCCAAAATTATATTCATCCAAACATTATCTTTTTATGCATAGATCTCGGACATATAGTTCATATGAGAGTGAGAAAAAAAAGGCAGTACTTGCATCAAGTTGTGGCTTCTAATGTCTTTTCCTTAAATCCTAGGCCAGATAAGAAAACAGGCCTTTCACAAATGGACACGGCTGTCTCGGCATGTGTCAGCTCTGATGAACTAAAGCATCAAAGTCAGTTTCTTTATTCACAACATTACTCCAACCCACCTCAACACACTGCACTGTAGGCTTCAGAGAAAAGACAGCTTTAGGAGGGGGTCCCTGTCTATCCTCTCGCCCCACACCACTCTCGTCATTTAGGTGCTATGCCTTCAACACGGCCGATGCTCAAGAAAAAGTCACTGGGCCAAATGGAACAAACGCTACTTTTCACTGTTGTACAATAATTATTATTTTGAATAACTAAATAATCTTCACTATAAAGCTCTATTTGTTACCAACTTCTGCATCTTCCACTGAGTTTGCTTCCCGTGTGGAAAATGTACATGCTCTCACAAAATTTATTTCTGAAACTTGCATGGTAAGGGAAAAATGCACAATAAGAAGTGTGGCGAGAAGGACAGGATGTGAAGAAAGAGACCGATGGTACATACAAGATGAAGTATTTTATAAAAATGCCTGCTAAGATAAAATCTGCATGTGCCTTTAGAGGGGACTACCAACAGATTCCACCACCAATCAGTTAAATCCTGATGTCTCTCAAAACCCTTCCTCAAACCCCATTTTCGTATTTGAAAGCAATCTGTAAGACTCATCCACACTTTTCCTTACCTTGGGGTGGAAGAAACAAAAAGATGAGAACAAGGAAAGAACTCTCCCTCACCTTTTCCAGCCCCAAATAATGCTCTTAACTTAGATGTGATAAATGGCCACAGTGTAAATCACACCACTGTAAAATGTAAAGGAAGCATATTGTTTCCTGGGTTTCCAAAGTCAGGATATAAGGCAAACATGGCGGTTAATCAATTTTCCTTGCTAGGGAGTTCCTGCTGGAGCACATATCCTGCCATCTCTCAAGTATGCGCAATACGGGCAACTTCTCCTCAATTACTAAAGCAAAACTGCTATGTTGTACACCAAGCGAAGAAGATGGCTGGTATATGTAGGGCCATGTTTAAAATATGGATACTCTGAACAATTATACTCAGTGTGGGGATATATTCACACTCTGTAAGAGAAACGGGACCTGAAATTGTGAGACAGCACACAGAGTTCACTCAGTGGATAGCAGACCAAGTTTTCAGGAAAAATAAAATGGAGGGGGCTGCAAACCAACACAGTTAAGTTCGGGAAGCTAAACATGCATACAATGCAAGTCACAGGATCAAAGAAAACTAAAACTCATTTTGCAATCCTGCAATTCTCTTTTCAAAGAACAATGAACTTTCAAATCTCTTTGAATAGCCCTGAGTACATTTCCAAAATTGTCACATTATTTATAAATATCTATTTACTTGGAGGTATGTTGTTGTACAGTTGTGACAGTTAAACAGCTCAACATTTGTCCCTGGTTATCAATTAGTGAGATTACCTGAAAAGGTCTTTCCACTAATATATAAGGAGAAAGACAAAAATATTCAATGATATAGGTGGATAAAAGAAGTCAAGATTTATGAGATCTTACACTTCGTACAACTTTTTAAAAGTCTCTTATTTCAAATATGTCTCATCTCTACATCTCAGATGAAAAGTACTTTTGTACCATAAAGATATCGGGTTCAACTGTAATGAGATTTCATATGCTTGAGTAAATTATTACCGTTCAAAGAGCAGTGAATTTAAATTCTAATTACTGCATCTATTACTAAACTAATGATTTCAGATCAATCAACTTTTCAAAACAAGAATACCATCTCTTTATTATTCCCCTCAGGGGACCTGACAGAAGAACAATAGGGCATTTCCCTTAAAGTATTGTAAATATAAAAGAAAAACAGTTTAAAAAAAAAGTAACAGTAATAACAATCCATAGTACAACTCACAAATGTGCTTGCATGGTTAACCTCTCATCACCTTTGAGGCAGGACTGAAAAGGCACAGAGCTACTAGCTCTGTGTTTCTAAATAGGGGCAGAAAAATTCTTGTGATGTAAGACTATCTGGTGTATCACATCTCTGGCCCCTGCCTAATCGATGTCAGTAGTAACCTCCTGTCACTGTGAGAACCAAAACCATTCCTAACAGAGGGACACCACTGGGCTGAGAACCACTGCTAGACAAAAGCGGCACTGTGATTCAGGAGAAAGAGATGCAAGGCCTGACAGACCTCATCTGTAAAAGGGGACTTCAACACTTCCTGTTCAGCATGTTATTACGTTACTCCCAGAATCGTGCCAGAGACTTAGAGACACTCGATGTGAGTTCTAGAAAGCATACACGTGTCCCATTCTTCTATTGAGTTTTACTTCTACAGCTTTAGCTTTCAAAGCTATTTTAGAGTGATTTAAACTTTACATTTTCATTTTATATGCTATAAAAAGTACTTTACCACAAATTATAATTCAAGGATATTGTAGAGTGGAGAGTGAATCTATGTATGCATACTTTTACAGGTCTTAGTACCTAGCAGGCATACACTAAAAGAGATGAGAACTCAAATCTATGCTGATCAAAGTGAAAAAAAAACTTAATTAACAGATAAGATAAACCCACTTGGAATACTAAAGGGAATCTAATTTAGAGGATGACTTTCAAAAGCATAAAGGCATTACACTAACAATAAAAGTTTAATATAAAATACAAAGGAAATCTGAACTGAAATGAATAACTGTATACTCAATGTCATATTCAAAGTGCATATATGATTTGTAATATACATTACATAAAACACAGTCTACACAGCACAAGGGGAAAAGGGCCAAACACTGAATAGAAATAATCAAATTCTCGATCCTGAGCTTATTAAATAGGTATTTCTTATGAGATAACCAATGGAACATGAACACAGTATACAAATTATGTTATTTGGTTAGTGAAAGAACAAGCTCATGTTCCGGAAGGACTTCAGCAGAAACAATGAGGATTAACGGAAATGCAGATAACACTCACTGAATTCTTAAACTTAGTATGATATTTGAGTTTCCCAGATCATATAACACAGAAGTATGTATCAGTCAAACAAAACACAAGGTTATATCATGTATGGGAGAAAGAGGAATCACTAAAAACTTAATAAAATCAGTATGTCTTTATATATATTTGTTGTTGTTTTTCTATTGCTAGGTGGTATTCAACTCTTGCAACCCCATGGCCTGCAGCCCTCCAGGCTCCTCTGTTCATGGGATT